TAGAGGCATTTCAGTTGTGCCCCCAATGAGGCTGACTTATTGGCTGGGGTGGCTGGAATTCTTTTGATGTATCTTCCCACTGTTACCCTCTTGGTTCCTGTTGCACCCTGAGCCCCTGGCTCGTCTCCTCTAGGCTTCAAGCATGCTGTAGTGCATCCAGCACATCTCTGAGCAGTAGGCCAAGGGGCCTCACCAGCACACCGTCCCTCAAACCTGGGCACATCATCCCACAACATGTCACTGGCAAGCCTGATGTTATCCCCCTCCCCGTTCGAGCCTAGTTTAAAGCTCTGTCTATGAACCCTGCTAGTTCCTGGGCAAAGACCCTCTTCCCCCTTTGAGAGAGATGAATCCCATCAGGGTTCATCAGGCCTGGTGCCGTGTAGGCCGTCCCATTGTCAAAGAACCCAAAGTTGTGGCGTTGACACCAGCCATGGAGCCATGCATTTATGGACTGTGTCCACCTGTTCTTCCCAGCATTGCTGCCCTTAACTGGAAAGAGGGAGGAGAATATTACCTGTGCTCCCGAATCCTTCAGTGACTGTCCTAAGAGCCTGAAGTCCCTTTTGATCGTTTTTGTGGTACGTGTCTCTGCTTCATCCCCACCCACATGGAGGAGCAGCAGTGGGTAATAGTCAGAGGGCTGTACCAGGCTGGGGAGTTTCCTAGCGATGTCCTTGACACGGGCCCCGGGGAGGCAGCAGACTTCTCTGAGAGGAGGGTTTGCCCTGTGTATTTGGGCCCTCTGTACCCTTCAGAAGGGAGTCCCCCACAACTATAACCCTCCTTTTCTTCTTTGTGGGGGTGGTTACGACACAAGGCATGGGCTTTTTGGGCCTAGGTGCTGCCTCTGGTGTAGCTTGACTGTCCTCTATATCCTCCAGAGTGTTTCGATATCCATTCCCCATACCTACAACCATGCATTTAAAAGGTAGTTTTAACTCCTTTAAATCAAGCATTGCCTCATTCATTTGGATATGCCAATATCATAACATCAGATTAGGTATCAGCTGTAGCTGGTAGCCCAAGTACCAGGTCCCTGTCTCGCTCTCTGATCCTGAGCACAGTATAAGCAGAAGTAAGGGCGGACTTCCCTGTCCTGCTGGTGGTTCCCTACTGTCACCATTGTGGCAGCACCACTGACAGGTAACCATGCCACGCACCCCCTGAAAGGATCATCTGTGCCCCAAAATCATTCCTCTAAGAACACATTAGCATCTTCATTTCTGCCAAGCCGCAGTGATCATTCCAGAAGCTGGGTTCTGATTCACCCTTACACTAACAGACTGAGTTCATCACACAGAAGAGAGAAGCAGCACTGAGTACCTGAACAGAGGCAGATGTCTTAGACTGCGGTCACTGAATTCAATATGTCATACATTGCATACTACCTGTCTTACCAGTTGGCCAGCGTACTATGTCCCCAACGTTTTCCAGAGTCCAAATAACATCCTTGGCTTGCTTCCAGAATGTTCCAGTGCCCAATGAGGCAGTTATGCAGAGCAACCCACTCACATATGTCAGCCTCTATGCACTCAGCTTGGTTTCTAGATTAGGTGGCAGGCTGGGTGGGTATTTTTCCAAACTCTGTTAGATGGATGCAGCTTCATACCTTGGCCATTGTGACAGAATGCTGCCTCTTCTTAACTTCCAAGTGAGGTTTGCACTGAAGTTCAAAGAGAGAATGGAACAGTTTTAGGAAATGCTATATTTTACATAAATTTGACATTGTTTGGGATTGCCTGTTTTGATGGCCTGGTGATGTTACAGGAACTGATTTGTATTACTTATACCCCTACATTCTTGCACGAGATAGTGACCACTGATTTCCTAAAAGTTCCACAAGTGGGATATATGCAGGCCTGAAGTAGCATCTTTCTGACCTGGGTATCTCAGAAACTTATAGTTACTCAAAGATAAGCATTTGTTCTTTTCAGTTAAAGACTGATGTGAATAATGAGATCTTTCTCACCTGCATTAGGTAGGAACATAGAAAAATGGCAAAGTTTCTTTAGGAAATACCTTGCAGTCCCAGTGCAGATTATTCTATATCTGTGTAGTATAACAAGGGGTTTGTTATTTTGTGGGGGAAGCAGTTGGTACAGGTCAGTGTCAGTGACAAAATAAATCATTTTGATTGGCTCACTTCTCCCAAGACACAGCAAAGACAAGACTGGTTTATTTGTTTCTATGGGAACCTCTGAGGTCTGCAACAGGAACCTGATTCTGTGGAATTCATAAAATCCTCGTGTAGACATTCCTGTTCAGTTACCACTACCAGCAGTTAACCATATTAACATATCATCTACAGTTTAGTTACTCAGCTATCAGTTGGGTTTCCTTTTTTTTTTTTTCTCTTTTATCTCTCTGCTGCTTCCAGATGAGCCACACTTTTACAGTCCCTTGCTCAGCATCACTGCCTGATATCACCTCCTTTATTCTCAGTTTCTTGGGCTAAATCCTCACTGTAACAAACCAGCATAGCTCCGTAGAGTTCAGCAGAGCTGTGCTCATTTAATTTGACTGAGCGTACATGGCCACCCTCATTAGATGTCGGGCAAGCAATGTATTTAACAAACCTTGAGGTTTCTCAGGCTAAGTATTTACATCCTCAGTTTACATTAATGTGACATGCATACATTTGCATATATTAATAGTATCGGCATATCTGAATAAAAAGAGCGATAATGTGTGGATATTTTACCATGTAAATTCTCTGAAGCATGGAGAATTCAATTTTGTATATGTGGAAGCACATTTTTGTTGCTAACAGAAACAAATGATAAGTAATAATAGCAATTTGCAATGATTAATAGCAGTAAGAGATAGAAATATGCTAACTATGAAATCTGTGTTAATAGTATTTCATCTCAAACATTTTTCTTATATTTAAGACACTATTTCCTTGAGTACCATCAAAGTCATATCAACAAGTTTTAGAGGAGAGGCTAGAAGCAGAGCTCTTCAGGGATTATTTTCCCACTGTTCCCCCTTACAGGGATATCCAGGTCTTCCCTTCTAGGAAAGAGTCAACCACTGAAGAAAACAGAAGGCAGCGCAGCAGTAGGAGGAAGTGGAGGTGGCTGGTGCTGGTGCTGGCTTTCAGCTAACAGCTGTAGCACTTTGGCCGAGTCAGTTCCAGTATAGCTCCTTTTTATTCCCTGTAGACGATCATTAACTAATCCAGCATTTGGATAAATTTCCAATGGAAGCCCTTCTTTGGACTGACTTTACCAATGTAATAGTTTCAGGCAAAGATAAACTAACAGTCTGCAATTCATGATGGTTGACTTACTTAGTTTTCTGCAGTTCCTTTGTAGGGAATAATTTTAAACTAATCTCTGCTCTGTGCTCCATTTGCAGCCACAGCTGTTTCCAGTGAACAGAATCCTGTTATTATCATAGCTGTGGTTGCTGTGGCAGGAACCATCATTCTGGTCTTCATGGTGTTTGGATTCATCATCGGGCGAAGGTATTGCACCTTGCATAGGCATAAATACATCTGACCCCACTCTTGTAAACTCTAATCTGGGATAGTAGTTTGCAAAACTGAAACGGAAGTCATTTTTAGTAAGGACAATTTTCACTGAAATCCCATTATCAGTTTTACAGTTTGTCCTCTTACTTTGGCAAGACACACTTAAATCAAGATGTTCTTTTTGTCCTATGTAAATGTGCTGTTAAAAGGAACCCCTAGCAGGTCCTTTACCTGTACTCCTGAAAGTCCCTCTTTTGGTTCAGTTTTCTCACGGGGAGAAGTCTGACACTTTATCTGATAAGCATTCAAATGACTTTACATTCAAGAAAAAGAGGCACAGCAATAAGTTTAAGAATACCCCCATGTAAAACAGTGTTCTACTTTCAAGTTCTTTAATCCTCCGTTTTATCCGTAGAAGCTTTTCACCAGAACTAGAATTTTCTCTTTAGGACCTGTCCCAACTGGTATTTGATACAAAAGCCTTTTGATTGCAACTGTTCATGATTTATTTAAAACTCTGATGTCAAGAGAATTATAGCTGAAAATTTCAAAGGGCCTACAGGAGTTAGGTGCTCAGTGCCTGAAAATCCCAGCCTGTAGAACTGATGTTGTCAGGACTTTGAATGCAAGGAAGTAAATCATTATTTACCAGTAAAACCGATGTCTTTCTTTTCAGGCATTGTGGCTATAGCAAAGCTGATCAAGAGGGGGATGAAGAACTTTACTTTCATTGTAAGTGTTTTGCTTTCTTTTCCCCCTTTCAAAAATTCCCAACTACAATAGTGTAGACAATACTAAAACAACACTTCATGAAAGACAAAGCCATAAGAAATTAAAAAAAAATGCTGTGTAAATAGCAAGTGGGAAGTTAAACACTGTAAAAATGTGACCTACACAAAAAGAATGCAGATTAAAGTCAACATTGCTCACACAGACAGTTTTATTTCTATACACGTGTATGATATACTGTTGTTTTCATTCTGCTTTTTTTTTTTTTCCTTTTTCTTTTGATTGCTTTGAATACATGTTTCACACTGTCCTAATGATCCCTCTGAGGTGCAGTATTTGAGAGACCTTTGGCTACGTGACTATATGATCTTTACCTCAGGCATACTTCAGATTAAGAAAGTGTGGGTCACTGCATCACTCTAATAATGAAACTGTTCTGCTCAAAAACTGTTTTCTGCTACTGTGAATAATGTTGCATCAATATTTAACAAAACACAATGTCCTTAAAAATAGAGTATTTACTATGAAAAGAAAGATCAGCTACTTCATTATTATTCTCTGTTCTAGAATCATTGCCTGTCTAAGAGTAGCACCTAAAGCCTCTCTTATTAAAATCACAGTTACCATCTGAACTTACGCTAGAACCTTGGGAAAATTCAATAACACACATCTTTCTTGGGTTAATGACAATTGAAAATTTAAGGGGAGAGAAAGGATTATGCAAGAATAGTTTCAGTTTTATCTAAATATTGTTTAAAAAACTTTCTTATTTTAGCCCTTTCTCATTTCAGTTGTAATATCATTTTGACACGAGAAATTAAAAGTATTTTCATTTCTTTTAGAATCAGTCATTAACTCAGGAAGCATGGTAAAACTAACTTGCAAAATTATTTTGAGCATCCAAAATTGCAAAATCACATGATAGAATTAAACTGAATATAAGTTCTGACACAGAGCAATGCCTGGGTTTCTAGTCTTCTCCCATGCCTGATAACTTCCACATCAGGAGAACTTGCCATTTAGTCATGCTATGCTGTATGTAGCCTTTGCTGTCTAACAATAATGGCAGCTGTACCTTAAATCCATCAGATTTATATCTTAAAATCATGAGTTATTATGAGAATGTAATGTCACATGGAGAATGAAGTAGCCACTAGTCACAAATTCGTAGCATCTTCTCAATGCATACCTCTTTAAATGAGTAGTTGTAGCCAAAGCTCTACTCAAAATCAGATCATAGTTTTCTACTCAAAATCAGATCAGCTGGAATTTGTTCATGCTTCCTGAGTTTGGGCATGTTGCTACCTAAATCATTTCAATTAAATGCAGTGAGTATCAAACTAAGTAGTGACAGCATTGCAGCTTTAGTCAATCAATTCATAATCTACGTATGAAAGGTGGAAAATAATAATGGGATAAGAATTATTTATCATGCACTTTGCAGTGCAACTGATTTTAAAGAATTCGTCAAAAATCTGATGTTACTTAAATGTTACTATTCTGGGAGTGACGGATTTGAAATTTGCCTCTTGTAGATGCATTATAAGCTTTTCGTGTCTTCAGAAGAGCTACTGCTTTCACTTTTAAAATCCCCATTATGTCCTTGAAGGAAAAGATCAACTATGTATTCTTGTATGTCAGTGTATAAACAAAAGAAATATACTAGCTAAATAATTCTTTTCTTCATTTCCATTGTCAGTGGCATTTTTGGTTTCAGTGAAAGTGTAAATGAGTTATAGGACAGCTGCTACTTAATGGTTAATAGTTGATCCAGAAATGGTGAGACTTTATATGTGTTCATTACCCTCATTTTACTTTCAAGAAATCTGGTTATCCAGCAGATTAGTCAGCACAGTTAGCATACACAGTCTTTTTAAACTCATAGCACCAAATATAAATCGGTTTTTGCCAAGCTAGTTTTTCATTGTCTGTTGATTGAAGGTTTAATGTTTAATTTTATTTGATAACCATGTACAGAATGCGACGTAACCCAGTGCTGTGGTCACCAGCTTGGTCATAGAGCTGTGAATATCAGTTTGGTGTCCTTTTGCTCTATAACATCTAGACAATCACTCTCTGTGCTAAGGTACCAGATTGGATTTTCAAAAATGTAACGTACAACAAACTCTTACTTAACACTAAAGCTTTCAAGTAACCATTTTTTTTAAAGCAGGTTTTAAAGCACTGTGTTTAATAGAGTATTTATTTAATTTAATATATTTTGTTTCAGTCCCCCTCAACTCTCTGTGACATCAAGTGCTACACTTGAAGATAGGAGTGCAATGGAGAAGTTTAGTCAAGCAGTTCAGAATTATATTTGGTTTCCTCGTACCATTTTCTTCTAACAATGTCCTTAAATCCAAGCCAGCATTACTTCACATTGGTATGCCAGGATAGCCTTGGCCTGTCAAAATGTTTTATGACAGCTTGAATAAAGAACCAACAGAAGCCCATTTGAGATTCAGAGATCCACTTGAGATGGATGGGGCTTTGAGCAACCTGGTCTAATGGAGAGTGTCCTTGCCAATGGTAGCTGGATTTGAACTAGATGATCTTTAAGGTCCCTTCCAACCCAAACCATTCTATAGTTCTATGATTCTGTGATTCACAAGGTTACCTCCATTCCAGGCCCCCTATCCCAAACACAAGAGGATGACTCCTTCTCCATCTCCTTGTCTGAAAGCACTATTATGTTGTTAACCTATTGCTTTCTTCTCATTTTCTCTAGTTATTTTTGGTTTAAAGAAATAAATATTTATCATTTTAAAAATTTGTAGCATTATCAATAAAACTGGAAGAACATCTATTTAAATACATAGTATGGCAGATAGTAGTACCTGGGTAACATTTCAAATAATTTCTCTGGATGTAAATTCATTAGATTACTCAATTTCTCTAGCTTTTTCCTTCTTATGAGGGTTTGGGGCGTTTTTGGTGAGTAATACCATCTCAAACGTAAATACACATGATTACTAAGCTATTTTTCAATATAGTTTCAAATTTAAAATATTTTATGTTCAATTAAAAGATTACAGAGCAACCATAAATTATATATGTTTCATATTGACTTTTGATCTTATTCTTGTATATCAGTATATGAATTAGCAGAGGAACATCCTTGCATTTTCTTATTGAACTTTAATTCACTGATTTAATTAAAGCTCAGGACTGTAATCCTTGTGAGCTAAATTTATTTCATAAAAAAAAAGCTTGATTAATAGATTTCCAGGGTTGCTCTACTTTCACCAGAAGTTTCTACTTTCACCAGAAGAGCAAAAAATAATTTTCCTGAATCAGCAGCAAACTAAGGGAAAAAACTACATGCTGGCCAGAGCTCTACGCTGCCTGAGTTGCACTAAGTGTTATCCTGGAAAAAGAGGGAGCAAACCCCAAACTGCTGCATATTCTTGACTTAGCTGCTTGAGAGAGGGAATAATTGTGCCACAGAGCCCACTTTCCCTTCTTATGCCTTTACAAGTTGACTAAAAGTGTTTCTCATGTTCATATTCTAGTGTGAGAAACATACCTAAGAATATAAATTCTAAGTGCTGTGAATAATTTAGCTTGGGTATTGCCATAGTCTGTAAATAACATTATATTCAGTAGTTTAAGCAAATTGAAGTAGGTGGAGGAGCCTTTCAAATCCTGCCAGAAGACAGAGACAACATAAAGGAATGCTGTTTATGCAACCTGGGAAAAGAGGATAAGTTGTCCTTACACAGAAAAGAAAGTTTCACCTCCTCCACTGGTCTTATACCCCTGCTCTATATATATATATAAACCCCTTCCCCTGCTTTATTTTTACTACCCTTAACTCTTGAATTTATTCCATTGAGTGCTATTGAATATTTATTACTTCTTTCACTTCAAGGTGGAGATGCAGATACTAATGTTAGTCATTTTTAGAGATGGGATTGTGTACTTGTGTCAGCATGCTTGCAGATAATGCCTAAAACTAAGGTTGCCTCTCAGAGCGACTCTGACTCAGGCAGCGTGGAAGCAGGTTCACTCTTCCAAGGAGCACTCTGCATAATGAAATTCCTGGGCTGACTGCACAATAAGTGCTTTTGCTTCATCACAGTCATGCTTTCTTACATCATTACAGTTAAATTTCCAGGCACCAAAACCTACATTGACCCTGAAACCTACGAGGACCCAAATAGAGCTGTCCATCAATTCGCCAAGGAGCTAGATGCCTCTTGTATTAAAATTGAGCGTGTGATTGGTGCAGGTAAGGCTGCTGTGGCTTCCTAATTCAACTGTTCCATTTAGCTGGGATCGAAACTCATACATCATAATGACAGGCAAATAATTATATCTCAAGTGTAGAAGAACTTTTTGCATTTGCCAGAGTGGTTAAGAGCAATGAAGCTGCACTTGCTTCTAAAATGTAAAAACAAAGGGGGGGTTTGTTAAAAAAAAAAAAAAAAAAGGGGGGGGGGGGGGAACAACAAAAACCCCAAATAAATAAGTAAATGAAGAGTCTTGCTTGACATTGAAAGCTTGTGGGTTTCTAATGCTGTATCTGCTGTTAAAAATGTAATTGGAGGGAGGGGGGCACTTTTGCTGCCTATTATTTACTGTCAGAGTAAAGGTGTTAGGCATGAGTGCAAATTCTGCTTGCTTTCCTTTTGCAAGAAGGCTTTTTGCCCCCTGAATTTTTGTTCATGTGAGTAAGGAAAACTGGCTGCAGCACAAAATCTTAAATAGAGACTAGGAAGTTTTTGTTTCTGTATAACAAAATCTTCCCTAAGGCTGTTTTTTGTTCTACTATTTTTCTTTTTGATATTTTATGAATACAAAAAGTTATTGTTTAACTTCTCATGACTGATTGTAATTGCACCAGCATTACATTGCTTTTCTTCCTCTTGAACTGTCTACCACCTACTTAAGACATGGTGTTCATGCTCTAAAAAGGCAGTTTCATTTGTTTGCATTAATAAGATATGTGACATTTTTATTGCACTACTCCATGTAGTGAAATTAAGTTTCTGTGGGTAAGAAAAATATCAAATACTTTGGATTCCTGGAGGAAATGTTCTTTTGCTTTCCTGTTGTTTTATAAAAGTATTAGTAGAAAACTTTTAAAATCACCCTGTACTTTGGCATGCACTGTAAATTACATGCTGTGGTATTTTTAAAAAAGAGAAGAAATATCTCTAAAATAAGCTGATTTACCTGTTAAAAAAATCTTTACACTTAGAATTCACAATGCCTCTTTAAAGTAACCTCACTCATGTTGAATCATGTCTTAATCAACGAGTAATACCATTGAAATTAACAAGACTGCTGAACAAATTATTCCTTCAGATGAGTAAGAGCATAGGAATCCAGCCCTTGCTAACTAGTAATATTTGTGATGCTAGAATTGCAGCATCTCTTCTAATAAATACACAATATACAAGATTTAAATTCAAGATTAGCCTGTAAAAATGAATGAGCTTTATCTTTTGCTTTGAGTTAAAAAACTATCAGCATAGCAACAGTTCAGAGCACGAAGATATACTCAGTTGGACTTTGCCGATGCCTTCCGAGCAAAATGCTGAAAACACTGCAGTTGCAGAGTATACAGTTTAAAACATATTTTCACTGTTATGACAGACTAATTCCAGAAGGCTAATTTTGTTGACTGCAGATGAATTTATTCTTGATTTTAATGAGTATAACTGATGGCAAAAAAACTAACGTGTGTCAGTAGTCATTCTGAAGAAAGTTAATTAGAAGTGCTATGCTGAAAGCATATTGAGTATGGGGTTTAGCTATGGCTTTAACCTGTTGATGTAGACAGCAAACAGGAGTGAAATGAAATGCAGTCCAGGAACACCAGAATGTTAAAGACCCAAAGAAGCAGCTGAAACTCATACATCAAAGAAGAATATAGAATTTCTGCTAGTGACAGCACCAGAAAAGCCACTTAGCAGTCTCAATATGCATCAGCTATGCTGGCCACGTCAACTATTGAGTAGTGCCATGTCTCTCAGATGAACAGGGTGCAAGTATGCTTGTGCTCAATTTGCATGAGGGATATGTGCTTTCCTTGCCAACATTTTCATTACCATCCCGCTGCGGCCACCTGTCAGACACAGAATATGGTGTCCACTATGCTGAGTCCTTGTTCGTACCACACATCCTTTGTTTTAAGCCTCTTCCTTGTTGACATGCTGAGCTAGTGGCTGTGCGGCTGTGCAGTATTCCCACTCTTGTTGCCTTATTTTCTGGATCATTTTTGGGCATCATTTCAGCTGAATATACTATTTTCTTGGGAATAAAAGTAGTTCATTGGCTAGCATCCTGGTCTGAAATGCGTAACATACAAGTTCAAGTTTCTGGTTTGCCTGGGTGAGAGTGATCTACTTTTGGAAATCATTCCAAATCAGATCACAGAGAGCTGGAAAGGAGTTAAGCCTTAGTGTCTCCTGTGCCAGTTATCCTAATTACCTGTCTCTGAAGTATCACATACGCTTGTACTCAGGTCTTGTTTTCGGCATGGAACAAAAATAATTTTGGAAGGTACTGCTAGAGAAAATTGTTATCCTTTAGTAAGATCTTGTGGCTAGGAGCTGTGAGTGAGGTGAGTGGTGAATTCATTAATAGTCATCCATACTGCTAATGAAGTGCGGGAGGAAGGTTAAGGCACCAAGGCAAGGGTGGGAGCAGCTAGTTGTTATGTATGTAACAGCTATGCCTCATGGTATTTATAGCTATGACATGGATATTCAGACCGTGGCTCCAGTGCCCAAGGATGGTTGAAGTCAATGCCTCAGCTGTGCAAGCAGGAACAGTTGTACTCTGTCTGGCCAATTAGCTCAGGTACAGCACGATGTTAACAGAGGTATATGGAGTTGCTCAGAGCTAACCTTAATTCAGTTAACATAGATGGGAGGGAGAGGAATTCAATTCTGTATGCAGTCATCTCCTATGAGATTGGTAAAATGAGCCATACTGAGTGGAGATTTGTCCAAACACGTCAGCTGGAAATATTAAGGTCCAGTCAAAGTTCTACCCTTCTGGCTGGAGAACTGTGAAGCTGAGGCCCAGGTACTGCTTTTTTTACTTCTCTAAGCTCTGCTGTTGGGGGTGACAATAGAACAGTTGTGTTGGAACGGTGACAGTGTCCTAAACAAGATTTCTCAGAACCCATCCATTAGGACACTTCAACATCTAGCTCTTCAGGCATTCAGCCCCATTTCCAAGCATACCTCTCTCCACTGCCAGCCAGACGTCTTGCAGTGTGTATGTGCACTTAAGTCCTGATCCCACCAGGTTTCTCAGGACCTCAGGCTATGTCCCAAAGAGATTCTCTAATCAAACTCTGTGTGTTAGTCTCCCCTAATTCAAACATCTTTTTCGGCACTTACCCTAAAACATGTCTTGGATGTAGGTGTGTCTGCATATTTGTCTATACTCAATAGCTTAATGTTAAGGCACTCCACAGGTATGCAGGAGATAAATTTCAGGCTTGATTTGATTTGGAGGAGGGACTTGGATCTATATCTCCCATACTCCAGATAAATTTCCAAAGTACCAGATTATTAAATATTTTTGCAATTAATCTTTCTCTTTTTAAAGAGATGTTCCCCTTTATTCAGTTAAAGATATGTTACTACCCTTTTCTCCTATATACTCCAAGAGATTTTTCTTCCTGGCTACAGAATAGGGGGTGTCTCTTTCTCTCTCTGCTGACATGCCTGTGAGGCAAGGGACAATCCTCAAATCTTTCACAATCTCAATAATTGTGAGGCAGATGTTTTGCCATTCAGCTCCACATCTCGTGTGCTTCCATCCTCTTTCCTGTCCAACGGAGTTCAATTACTTCTCTCCCAAATTATGGTTGTTGAGGCTTTTTTTGTTTTGGTTTGTTTTTTTGTATTCTTGCTAGCTGTTTGGCCATTTTTTTCACATGCTTCTTCAAGTTCCAATTATTTGTTAGTTTAGAAGCTTTTACAAACTTCCAGCATTTCCTTGTGTTTGTTTAGTGTAACAAAATTATTATAAGTCACACCTTTCATTTCATAATCTGCGAAGTAAATTATCCTGCTTGAAGGTAATAATGTAGTGCTTCATTTAACACCATAACGATGTTAAATTAAAAGCAGCTCTGAAAGAGCCTTTTGAAAGAAAAAAAACCATGGAATCTAAAGATAGCGAGGAAACCATGTAGAACAGAATGACTTCTTCACTTAGAAATGGTATTACTATTTCTGTAATAGTATTTTCTTATGAAAGCTATTTCATATTTATTTCCTATTTATGAAACAATGTAACAAGTTACTAACAAATCTTTTAAAAGATTCAGAGACCTGTAGATTGGCTTAATGTGAAGTGTTTACTCCATAAGGTACCTAGTCACCAATTCATTTAAAGCATGTGCCTGTCTTTGTGTTCCATTTCAATATGAACATCCACATGTTAAATTTAAACACACACTTAGGTGGCTAGTTGAATCAAAGCCTAAAAAGAATATTGACATTATAGTCAGACTAATTCAGCCTTGATCTACTTCATTTTAGGAGAGTTTGGTGAAGTGTGCAGTGGGCGTCTAAAGCTTCCTGGCAAGAGAGATGTCGCAGTAGCCATAAAAACTCTGAAAGTTGGCTACACTGAAAAGCAAAGGAGGGATTTCTTGTGTGAAGCAAGCATCATGGGACAGTTTGACCACCCCAATGTTGTTCACTTAGAAGGGGTCGTTACCAGAGGTAAGCAGCGGCTGAATCCGTCAGTCAAATAACAACATAATGGCAGAAATTACTTTAGCTTATTCATGGTCAAAGATTCAAATTATAAACAGGCTGCACAGTCCTAATGGATTTTCTCCTGATGCGTAACTAACTAAAACAATACTTACTTTATGCTACAACCTGAGGAAAAAAATTAAGATGCACACATGATTAAAAGATGAAGTACTTTTTGAAATATGTTCTTTTTCTAGTTTCATTTAGCCTCAAAGACCATGCAGAGAGATAAGGTTTCTTATGTCCTTTCATATTATCTGAAGTGTCATTATTCCAGAGTCCTGTTCACACAGCAGGAGTTAGGAGAACACACTGACATTTCGATTTGTATGGTTTAATTTTGTGAATCATGACCACGTTTCATGCAGACATTTAAGAACTTATTAGAGATCAGTAACAGTGCTGGAGGCCTCAGAAATGTTCATTGTCTCAATGATTCAGTCCTTCAAAGGAATAACATGTGTTTTGTCAAAAAAAGGCACTCCATCTGTGTTACAGTTTCTCAGACAAAATCTGTCGTCTTTTCTTTCAGGGAAACCAGTCATGATCGTAATAGAATACATGGAGAATGGGGCCTTAGATGCATTTCTTAGGGTGAGTACCAAAATGGAAACATATAAAAATATATTTGAAGTGACAAATATTATGTTATATTATATATTGTTACTTTTAAAAATATGGGTTTATATATGTGCATATATATACATGCATGATATTTGTATAATTAAAATGGTTTTCAGGCTGAAATGGAGTTTGATAAATATGAGCTGTTCTCTACGTTATTTCAGCAAAACCAAATCAGAAATGAGACGATCAGACTGGATCACATAGGAACATTCTAGGAATTTAAGTGATCTAATGTGGCATAGACATGGCGGGTTTTATTATTGCCACCAGCTGAAGTTAAAACTGCTGATACATGAAGCCAAATCTTCTGCCTTTAGGGAACAGAATTTTGTGTCAGCATGGTGGAAATCAGTGTACAAGAATCCCTAAATGAACTATGGTTGTGTAAGAGAAGAACAAAAGAAAAAGAAGTGCAAGTTCACAATGATTTAGCATTTTTTGAATGTGTGTTCTGAACTGGCCAGTTCTGACTCCTTACCAGGTGTACAAGACAGTGTGAGATGATGTATGAACACTCTGTAGAGAATAGAAAGATTATGTTTGTTTGATAAACTCCAAGCTATGAATAAAATTATCAGTAGCTAGGGTTCCAAGAGGAGATAGTTCTTATTTCCTTGAAACAAATAATTATGTTGAGAGATGAAGAGCATAGAAGTACATCAGGTAATCTCTCTTAGAAGAGACTTTCCATGCCTTAGCCAGAAATTTATAGTGATTAGCAAGTTTTGTTACTTCTAGTACATTAACTACTCACATTTCTTAACTGGATGTACTGCTTTATAGCTGAAGAAAATAAAACTTGTGTTTGAAGTGAGTTTCTTTGCCCCAGGATGAATTGCCACAGAAGTAGTAAATAAGTAGAAAGCTAAAGTTGTAAAACTAATTCTTATTTCTCTTCTCAGCTGTACTAACAAGAATTGCTGCTCCTTTCTTCCCTCCAGAAACATGATGGGCAATTTACAGTCATTCAGCTAGTGGGAATGTTGAGAGGAATTGCTGCTGGAATGAGATATTTGGCCGATATGGGATATGTACACAGGGATCTTGCAGCACGCAATATTCTTGTCAACAGCAACCTTGTTTGTAAAGTGTCAGACTTTGGCCTTTCCAGAGTTATAGAAGATGATCCAGAGGCTGTCTACACTACTACCGTAAGAGAAATCGATGGGTTTTAGTAGTTTTGAGATGTAGTTACTAAGAAGAAGCATATCTTCTGGAGAATATAGATAAGAGAAATACATTACTATATTGAGAAATATTAACCAGTCAAAAGAGTCTGCAAAAATCTGTCTCTAATTAGGGAGTAATATTTTTGTAAGAACATACATTTTTGTTTGGTAAAGTTCTAAAAATTTTGCACAGTATCTTCATTATTCCTTTCCTCTGTCTTCATTGTTCCCTTCCTCATTATCTTCTGTTTGAACAAATACAGAAGTTTTACCCATAAAAAAATTAATCATCTCATTTACTATGAGTCAATTAAAATATTTGTAGGCTATTACTATTTTTCAGACTAGATTTTATCTCAACAAAAAGTTGACTAGCTTGAGGCTAGACTGTGACAAAGCTCAACTCCTGTATTTTCCCTTGCTTTTGGGTGGGACGCTTTTCTTAAATAAGCATTCATCGGGCACACTATGCTCTTTATTCTTTTGTTGAGCCAGCTCCACTTTCCCACCCATGGGGCCTCACTGTACCTATTTTCTCATGCTGAGGGAAGGAGGGGCCCCTGGAATCCGCTCCGACAGGCGCAGGGATCCGGGCAACTGCACCGGTGTTCTCGGCTGTCACTCCTGCCGCTGGGCTCTAAGTAGGAGCCTGGTTTAAAAATGTCAGACCGAGATTTCAGAGGACCGTATGACAAGTCAACAGGATTTATATACACAGGATGAAATTCCCCTCACCTAGCTTCAGCCAGCCAGGAGTTAAAGGACCAGCGTATATCAGACTTCTAAGCAGCCCCTTAAAATCAGTGAAGAGATAAGCACTTGCAGAGAAATGCATCCAACTTAGCTTAGACAGGTGTCTAGGTTTCTATGGTCCAAGTGTTTTAAGAGCCTAAACTTCCTTAGACTCCTTTGAAAATTCTGCAATCAGTCAACTATAGTAGATGATATAAATGTTGCTTTTGATGTTGATGGAAAGAATTATAAATGTAGTCTATGTTAAATTTTGTGGAGAAAAGAGAAAACGTTCTGCTTTTTTATTTTTTTCATAGGGTGGAAAAATTCCAGTGAGATGGACAGCTCCAGAGGCCATCCAGTACCGCAAATTTACATCAGCCAGTGATGTGTGGAGTTATGGAATAGTTATGTGGGAAGTAATGTCTTACGGAGAACGGCCTTACTGGGACATGTCAAATCAAGATGTAGGTTATACTTTGTGAGTGTGAGTGTGAGTGTGTGTGTGTGTGTTATAAAAACAAAAATTACATACTGTGAACACATACATATGTGTTTCACTATACATGCGTCAACTGTTGGCTTAGAAATGAGACTTATGAAAATACTGTAGGGTTCTCACAAAATAAAAAAGTCACAGAGCTTTCACTTTTTACCTAAATGTCTACATTGTTCTTCTGTCATGTGGATATTGTAGGTGTCTGTCCCGAGTATCAAGTAAAATTGGAACATCAAAAATAGTAATATATGCTCTGTACTTCATTACACTTAAGCATGGAAGGAATTAATATTTTTTCCAATAAGAAATAATTCTGAGGTTTCTGACCTCAGAGCAATGATTAATCAGTTGAAAAAAGTTGTTAAAAATCTGAGTGGCAGTTAATGACCTACTTTGGCTTTTTCAAGTTAATTATGCTGATTTAACAATACCCTTGTTTGCATAAAATATGACCCAGAGCAACAGGTCAGCAGTAATAGAACAGATGGGTTTTAATCTTGATTTCTGACAAGACTATCCATTAATATAGAAAGTACACAGGAAAAAGCCAGGCAGGTGAGAAAGATGTCAGAAAAAGTCTCATTTAAAGTTCTTCAGGTCAGGGGCTTGAGTGGTTTTTTTATTATTATTTTATTTTTTGATTGAATGATCGACATCAAAGTTGAAAAAAAAGAAGATAAAAGTGTAAATGATGAGTCAGTTTGGCACAGTGAAAAGTTGTTAATATTTGACAGGTCTCAGTGTCAAAGATTTCATGGACTGTCAAAATATGGGCAAACAAGTCCTTGGGGCAGAGAAAGAGAAATATTTACATTCCCTAGACACCCAGTGGAGTTTCATTTCTTTTGACACCTTCCTTCTGTACTAGATTCAAACATAAAAGAAGTCTGACAGGAATATAAGATGCCTCAAAGGCAAACCTTACCTATCTTTCAGGGAACAATACAGAAAAACTTTTAAATAGGGGAGAAATTTTGGTATCTTCATGTTTCTTGTTGGATTTTGAAAAGTATTGCCTCTGTTGAAAACTGCAAGTAAAGCGCATGAATGAATCTTTTTCATAAAACAGTTAATTACCACTTCTTGCAGTTTCATCTCTTTTTAGCATCTTGCATGATAGTCTTCAATAGCACATAATTAAAAGATACATCAATTGCTTGGTAAAATAATTTCAAATATTATTGTATGCTGTGATCTTCAAGCATGTCTTCCCAAAACATATACACATCCTACCAATCCCATAGATAAATCTGTGATGCAAAAATTTAGAATCATGATTAGTTATTTATTCTCCTTCACAGTTACCAATGGGAGTATTTAACTGGAACAAAAAATGCTAAATGTGCCTCTTCTAACTTTGCATAAACACTCAGGCAGTTTATATATCTTAAGCGTATCATTTTGCCTAAAAGTGGATGTGGGTGTAGTCATAGACCAGATCAGATCTCCTAAAAATTATGTCTCCCTTACTCTGGATCTTTAGATGGCATTTCTTTAATTCTGCCCCTCTTCCTTTAAGTCATTGTTTTAGATTGATGTAGGATACAAATTTGTGTCGCAATCTCTTTTTAAGCAAAAGTCGTTCTTTTAGCAGCAACATGGAGCTAGGGTTTACCAGAAGAATGCTTATCCTACAAGCTCCCCACAGAGGCACAGAGGGCTGAGCACAGATGATCCACAGAGTCCCCCCAACTCCTCTGAGCAGTGGGCTCCTCTCAGCCTAATCCTCGCTGGTAACAGTAGCCCTCAAACTGCTGCACTTTACCCTATCCCCCTATTAGACTGCTGGGGTTTGCTAGTTGGTGCTTTCATGCGGTTACTGACCCAAGTGCAGATTAGTTCTTCAGAAAAGGGCAAGAGCTTAGCCTTAGATCTCTTTTTTCTTTGCTGTACTCCTGGATTTATTACCATAATTGTGTTTATTCTTTTGTATTATTATTATATACCCTGAAGCAGAGTCCTAATATTACATTGTCCAGTTACCTGTATTTAATACTTTGTTGGCAGCCAGTATATACAGTGAACAGACCTGGCCCTCTTCTAATCTACTTTACATCCTCAGATAGCCTGATTATGATAAAAAGCATACTTGACTCTTAACAGTATTCCCTTTTTCTCTTTTTGCAGAAAAAGCAGAATTTGAAAAACAAATTGTGAGAAGTGTAAATAATATAAATCAATTCTATTAGTAAGAACTCCAGCTGTGGTCTCTTTGTAGCTTTGTTTATCTAAAAAAAAAAAAAAAAAAGTAAAAAAATCCTGCATCTATTTCATTATCTCTGAGTACTGATTTTTGGAACCCCACCCCCACCTTTCTTATCAGAGTAGACACTTGTAGTACCCTTCAAAGTGCCTGAGTTTTGTATATATTTCTTTTAAAAAAAAGGAACTTATCATTTTTTTAGAATATTTTTTTCAATATTTTGGATATTCCCAGCAATTCCATCCATCTCTAGCTAACTCATTATTTTATGTTTCCTAGTTCATCCTTCTTGCTCAGAATACACATCAAAGAAGCTGATTCTGCAGTATCTCCAAAGTATTTTAAAAATAATATCATCATCTTGATTCCCATCTCTCTTCAGGTTTCTCTGCAGATCATAGTGAACATGGAAAAATCCTGGTCATGATACTTTCATCTGTGTTTTCACTACCCCTTACACTCTTGGATATAGTCTTATCTAGATGGTTTGCCAGTTCTAAGAGTCTTAGATATTTTGCAACAATTTGCTGTTACCTACTTTTTCATTCCTCATTGGTTGTCTCTGCATTCTGACCTCTTAAGCAACTTTTGTTTGTAGTAAAACATATGTAGTATGCACAAAGGGTTTAATACCTTTAACCTTTTAGAAGGTCAGAAATTTCTGCATTACTTTTCGCAGCACACCAGTTCTATACACACTGTAGCTTATTTTTTATTTTTATGCCACTGCTACTTCTTAGCATAAGGAGCTGTTCTTTTGGTTTTCCTCTTAATATTGCTCTAAAAGATCTTACATTTTCTTCTAATGTTTTCTTTCCTGTACAGTAGCATTCTTCCAATTTCCCTGTTCCGCAGAAATCCTCTCTCCCCACCCTGTCTGACAGATAAATTCACTCTCTCTAAAAGGTCACCGCACTCATTCTTCAAGGTGTGGATGTTACTGCAGGAATTGAATATTTCTCAGTCATTTTTGAGTTGTAGGACAGTACTGTCATTCTAAATGTTCAGATAGAAAGCTGAGGCCCAGGGAGATGAGGCAACTTCCCTGAGGTCAGAACGACATTCTGTGACACAAACCTGCAGTAAGTGCCCTACCACTGGGCTATACCTCCTCTTTTCACAAAACTTTTCTGCAAAAGGTTTTGATACAAACATGGATTTCGGCCAGCTTTTTGAAGGTCATTTTGTATTCTTTGCAGTTCTCTACTTTGCAGTCCACTGCTTTTGAATTTTCTCACTCAACCTATGGAATATTTTCTGTCTGAGGTTATTATTTTCACTGAACCCTGGATATTCACCAACTTTATTTATCATACCAGATCTACTTCCTAGGGCTACATCCAGAACAGCTTCTGATCTTGCTTTCTGTACAAACCGAGGAAGAAGACAGTCCTATGCACTACCCTTCAGGAACAAGCACCCTTCCTTAGCAATTCTAATACTGCTATGTCAGTCAATGTCAGTATACTTGAAATCCCCCATGAACAGTGTTTTAGCCCTTTTTCACAATCCTTTCTTATCTGGCTCGCTTCCTGATGTGCTTTCTTATCCTGCCCTCAAGGTTTATAGCAGTTTCCTGTGACTTTACGTTACCCATTTTTATTTTTTCCTTAAATCCAAATGGACTTGGCTAAGGAAGTCAATGGGTGGGTGTAATTCTTGGTTCAGACATCTATGCTCTCCTTCGATCATATCATCATCTAGCACCATCTCTTATTAAATCTAACTTTCTGTTTAGGTGATATATTAAAATACCATTCAGCCAGGTCTTCCTCTCTCGTGTGGCACATTTCTGCTACTTTATCATTAATATAACATGGCTAGATATAGAATACAACTTTTTTTCCCTACCAATTTCTGTCTGCTGAACATTTTTCTTGGATCCTTTTATAATATCTCCAGGCTGTTCGTATTTTATATGTGCATGCACAGATCCCTATCCCTTTACAAGTCTGTTGCTTCTACCACACACTTTCATAAAAGCCTTGGGGCAAGTAATAATGCTTTCTGAAATAACTCCATTTATCAATCTATCTGTTGCTCCCTTGGTGAATTTAATTGTTGTTCCCCGCTGCTCACTTGACTAGGTAATATAGCTATGTTCTGCACATATAGAACAATATGTTTAATAAGCCCGAAGATAAAGTCGAGGAAATTATTTGAAAACATGAAGGCCAGTGTCAAAACAACAGACTTATATTTTTGCAACATTGATGGCAAATTATAGTTTATTGAATTTTTCTTTATTTTTTATCCTTTTATTTCTTGAACTGGGTAGCAATATATATTCCTTAAATATCCCTTGATGAAAAATGATTAACTGTGTTGGCTGCTAGGTTATAAAAGCAATCGAAGAAGGCTATCGTTTGCCAGCACCCATGGATTGCCCAGCAGGACTGCACCAGCTGATGCTAGATTGTTGGCAGAAGGAACGCGGTGAAAGGCCAAAGTTTGAGCAGATAGTTGGTATTCTGGACAAAATGATTAGAAATCCAAACAGCTTGAAAACCCCATTGGGAACCTGTAGCAGGTAAGAAAAATTTTAGTGTGTGTTCTTATGATGGTGCATGTGGCTGGGTTCTGGATGTTCTATTTGGTGGCTGGTTCCAGTTCACAGTTAACTCACGTGTCTCTCAGTTCCTCCTTCCTTCTGTTCCCTGTTCTTCTCTTCCCTCATTTGGCCTCCTCTGCTGAACAAAGTCAGAAAGGACTTTCTTAAAAAAATAACCAAAATAAAGAAAGTAAATATCATGGAACTAACACATTTCTCAGTAAACTTCTGCCCGCTTGTTACTCTTTCCACACTCTCACCACTAACAGTCTTTGGTTTCCTTGTTTCTTAAAATTGTGAAGTCTGGAGGGCAAGGATCATCATCTATTGTAGTTTTATATGATGCATCCCTTGCCCTAGGAACTGCTACGGTAGAAATAGTAATTAATAGTACTCATGCTTGGTCAATGTACTTTGACATGCTACACACTAGATTTTTACCTTTCATTTTCTGGCTTTAACTCCTTTCAGTGATTGCATCTCATTGTATTTCATGGTGTAGCGTTTAATGGCTTCTTCATACTTTTCAGGTGAATTATTTAATTGTGGTAATCTTTTGACCTGCTAGCTAGATCACTGCACTAGGGAATCAACTGGCCTGTGTTCTGCTCCCAGTTCTTCCACTGACTGATTTACTGTGTGACCTTAAGCAACTTACTTTGTGTCTCTGCTCTTTCCTTGTCTTTGTTTTGTCCCATCCAATTGAATAATGGGAATAGCTACAACTATATTTTCTTAGATGCTTAAAAGAATAGCATCTTTATTTTACTCAGCAACTTTAGTTGCAGCTGCTGTCATGCTAGGTAATAACATTGATTTTCTGTTGGTAACAATAGTCCATTAGGCTGATTTTGCTCACTCTGGCCTTTCATCTTTTACATGAATAAGCTTAGGAAGTACATATTGTGAGCTACAGAGCAGTCAAGAGCTATTCACAGAATAATCTAAATTGTGTGTAAAGCCCTATTACTTTCTACTCTTGACATTTTTAATACCCCAAACTTATTTGACACTCACCTTGCTAAATACTCCCTGATGTTTTACTCTCTTTGGAAGCAACTTACTTTCCTTTTTCCTTCTCCGTAGACCAATTAGCCCTCTTCTGGACCAGAACACTCCCGATTTTACCACTTTCTGCTCCGTAGGCGAATGGTTACAAGCTATTAAGATGGAAAGATATAAGGATAATTTCACAGCAGCAGGCTACAACTCTCTTGAATCAGTTGCCAGGATGACTATTGAGTAAGTTAGTACTGGGCATGTTTAACTTGCATTTAGGAATTTCTAGGTAAAATAATACACAATGTTCAACTCCAAAACTTTACCCTGAGTACAAACATGGTACTTGGGGTTAAATCAGCTGATTTAACAGCTGATGATGTCATATTAGAGCATCCCATGACAGGGAAAATACCCTGCTACCTATGTGTGGCATTACTTTTTTCCTGCTTTTGAGACCAATTGAAATAACACCAAGGGGCTAGAATTTGAGGGAGAATGTGGCCCATTTCAAAGTATGTATGTATAGGAGAATAACCCCTTTGCCTCCATTACCTAATTGGTACCTTTTTCCAGATGTGGAATAGGAAGATGTGTAATTTTCTTTTAATTGGCTGGGGGCTGTGTCCTGCAAGAAATGACTTTGCATCAAGATAAAAGTCTATAGAAGCAAAACAATTTTCTGAAGGCAAGCATGGCCTGTATTGGTACTGCCATCTTAAACAGGTCTTCCTGGCACCCTGCAAACAGCATTCTTGTCCTGGTGGTTGCCAAACACATGTAATTCCTCTTACTGAGAGCAGTGGTTTTCTAAACAAGTTTCTAAATAATATTCTCAAGTTTGCAACCATACTCTTATCTGACTGGTATCCTTAGGGGCCTCAGCCTATAGCTTGGGAACTGTCATCAAAGCCTATAAGCTTCTACTACATCAGCAGCACTAGTAGCTGTGGAATTGAAACAGCTGCTCTTCTTCCATTTGCATGATGGGTATGGGTCAATATGCAAAGGGTTTCTCTAGGCATCTCTTTAGGAAGTAGAATGTGATCCCCAAAATCTTGTATTTATACATAACATAGTCCTGAAAGCCACCTGTATTTTACAAGAGAAGTGTCTCTTTCCCCGGGTGTCCTTGAAAGCCACAATAAAAGATTATCACAGTGCAAAACATACTGGCCTCATTCTCAGATGTGTAGACACATGCAGTGTAATTACATGACACTTGCCATGTAATTGCACTCCTCGCTGAGAAGTTGAACAGTGCCTATATGAACTTCACAGTACTGAGCTGAGGTTCCAGTGTAGCTTCAATGTCAGAAACCTGTAGCCCAGACCACTACGTAGCTTTGACTCACAGTTGAATACCATACAATAGCAGTCTAAGTTGAAAAATTAACAATGTACGCATTTATCTTCCCCAGGGATGTGATGAGTTTAGGGATCACGTTGGTTGGTCATCAAAAGAAAATCATGAGCAGCATTCAGACTATGAGAGCACAAATGCTACATTTACACGGCACTGGCATCCAAGTGTGATAGACATTTCTCCCTTATGAGGGAGGTGACAGACTGAGAGAACAGCACTGGCCTTCAGTATATATGAAGTGCTGCTAGAAGACACTTGATTTCCTGGGTCCTTCCTGCAGTGAATAGAAGAGCTACAAGAAGCACCTACAGACTTGAACTCCTAAGTGCCACCAGAATTTATGAAAAGGGAATTAGGATCCACCAGTGGTGGCAAGGAAAACAGCAGTGACAATAAACAAAGTACTACCTGAATAAACATACAAACACCTTGAGCTCTCTAACCTCCTTTTTATCTAATAGACTTTTTAAATGTACATAAAAATTTAAAAAAAGAATATATTTGTCAGATAAAATCATGATATTATTGTTAAATTCAACAAAATATTTTCCTTAAATCTGTGATTTCTGAATCTTTTTTTAATCATTTGTGTTTATTCTTCATAAAGACTTTCTTTTAGTATGATGTTTATATCTTTGGACCTTTTTAGTGCTAATTCTATGACACATTACTACACTGGGTACCTCTGAAGGATTATTTGAGTTCCTAGAGATTTAAAAGAAGCATGACCAAGCAATGTATATCTGTCCAAACTTTGGTATCCTTTTGTGCCATTTACTTTTGTTAAATCAGCACCGTATTGACATGGCTAGCTAATTGGCAGGGAGTCAGGAAAATGCAAGTTGCCAAGAGCTCTGATATTTTTTAAAGAATTTTTTAAGGTTACACATATACTATCTTTTAAAAGAAAATAAAATAAAAAAAAATAAAAAGAAAAGAAAAAAAAAGAAAAGCAATAATGACCCCTAAGTAGTTCTAGGCACTTTTAGCAAATTGTTTGCAAGACGATTTTAATGGACTAGAGTTAAAGTGAGATATATTCTAAGATGTAGATCTACAACTGTAAACCTGCTGAGACACTGCATTGAATGGACAAGTGATTGTAGGAGTGTCTCGGAACACAGGTGCAGTTCTCCAGTGTTACCTAAATCATTTAATCTGAGCACATCACATTTTTTTTCAATACTCTGCATTAGCAAATCTGAGAGAAATGGCTGGCGTATATTTTATATAAGTTTAAGCCGTTATGCAGTCCAGCTGTCAGAAAAAGGACATAGATTTTATATGAGAACTGTAGAGCATGAAGCAAGGGGCAGTTCAAAATTTTCAAGTTTTTTACAAGCTTTTGCTGCTCTGAACAAACATGCGTGTGCGTGCTCACACAGACACAACAGTCATTCATCAGCAACACAGATGTAAGAGTAGTTGCTCTATGGAATATCTTTTTTACACCATTTACTTGTATATTAATTTTGTTTGATTAAAATATTTAACTACCATAAGCAATAATGAAAAGGTGTCTTTACAGATATTGCAGGAATGTATATGAACCAGAGATAAATGCTTTAAAAAAAAAAATCTGAAAATTGTGAACTACCCCAGCAATGAAATGCTGTACTTCCAAAGAGAATTGGGCTGCTTCTATTGATTTTGATAGAGAAAGATCCCAGGGATCAGTCATAAATTGGTCTTGTTTGATAATGTGGGCATCCACACAAAAAAAATAAAAACAAAAGAAAAACCCTGTAAATGTTCCTTTGTAAAACTTGTAAATTTTATTTATACTGTCTTGTTTTGTACACACATTTATGTGTAGTGAGCTCTGAATACATTGAAAATGCACTATATTTTTCTATTTTACTTGCAGAGCATCACAAACAAACATGTATATTCAGTGCTACATAATGTGTTTTCCCACATTTAGGACCAAAGATAGTTATCAAAAACTTAAATGCATCATTTTCCCCCTCCTTTTTTCTCCCCCTTTTTAGATCACTGTACAGTGTTATATTTGTCATTTTATTTATTTGTTTCATTAGAAAAATCAGTTTGGTTATACTAATTTTTTGTCCCCCCTGCCTTTGTTGAAGAAAATCTGTAAAAAGCTTTTAACTAGCATAATCCCGTTACATAGACACTTCCATTTGTAATCTTTGTAATAGACTGTAAATATATTTTTGGAACTATAATGCAATGTGCATAAGGGTTATTTTTCAGTGTCCATATATGATTGTTTATACAATTCACAGCACTTTACAGTCATGCTGAGAAGCCTAATTTATTGCCTGGATTTGGGCAGAGTAAGAAAAAAAGGTGAATAGTCTTATTTCGTATTAGATGATTGTCATTCAGTAGAAATGGAGTTATTTTCATGTATGCAGCTCAAGATGGTTTTTTAACTATTAAAATTAATTTTCTAGAAATGCTGTAGAAGTAAGACGCAGAGTAGACTGCATGCCCAACATTGAAATTAGTGCGCGCAAGCACTCAGCCAAGGCACTTCGAGTAGCCATTGGAACGCTCTTCGTTAATAAACATCCGTTTTGTGTTATAACAAACGCTAAGTGCCTCACTACTGCAGTGAGCATCTGTGGGCAACTGCACAGGGTGCTTGTCAGTTTTGCTGCTGCTTTAGGCACCCAGCTATGAATTTAGGAGTCTAAGTTCAGACACCTGCTCCCTTATAAATCTTGGCAATTGTTTCTAAGGGCTTGGTGATTAAAGGTGCGATGCAGCAATGCTGGTATTGCTGAGAACCCGCAAACCCTAAATGCAAGAGAGTTGAGGCCAGGCTTCTCCTTTAGGATTTGTTCAATATTCCGAAGCTCAGAGGCCTCAAAACATGTGTGGTGACCTGGGCTTACACATGTAAAAGTGAGGGCCCTAATGATATTTCTTCCTTATTTTTCCTTGTTTGATTTAAGCCATCTTCTATGAACAGTAAATATATTTTAGCATTCATCTATATACCTTGACTGCCTTAATGTTGCCACAGATTTTTACACATTTGAAAGTGGTAGAGTAGACCCAGAAAGCACAATCGCTATCAATACTCCTATCGTATCTATCTGTTCGGAACATTACTGCAATTTAGAGCACATGCACGTAAATGGATTTGTAACTGGTAGAGCAGCAACATATTGACGTTGGTTGCAGTTCCCCAGGTTCCAGGAAAATATAGTCCAGTGTAAGAAAAGTAAAGTACCAGAGAAAGTTGATGTCAATGGGAGGAACTGAAGAAAAAGTTGGGTCAGAGGGAGAATTAAAGGCTAAATGATGAAACAAAGAAATTATCTCAGTTCTGGTTTAATGTCATTGAATTTGGAAATTGTGCATCGCTACAGACAGATTATCAGGCTGTCAGTGAGGCTGATCTTTCTTGACTTTGTCCATCTACAAACATCTAAAAAAGAGATGCCTAAGACAAGCAGGATGAATCTCCCTCTGGGAATGCTTATCTCCATTACCTGTAGAGGGAACCCAGATGATTAGCTTAAATTAGGTGTCTAATGTCTAGGTAGTTAAAGTTAGGTGAGGTGATTCCTACCCTGTATGTCCTTGGCTGCTACAGTTTCCCTTGCAAGCTGAGTGTCGTAGAAAGGCAGCTCCTCCACTGCTAGTATGTCCCAGAATGTATTTAAACTGGGCCTTATCACAGAGAGAGGTGATTTTTTCTTAATTATTTTTTTTGTTTTAATATTCAGAGATTTGTAACAGATCATCTAAAGACTTTTTGTATATGGGTATTAATTCTTGAAAAAATTGTGATTGTTCTGAGGAAGACCTGCCTAGTAAATTACAGTTATTTAATATTTGAAATAATCAGAAATATTTGCTGACATACTGCTTCAGTCCAGAGGTTATGTGATCAGATATGATAGCTGCTGTTTGCAAAACCATGTGTTTATCTAAAGCCTTGTCATGTAAAAATCTCCAGGAGGCAAAGATGCTTAAATGTATCTCAAATTGAATGTTGCCCTTAATATCTCAATAACTGAGCTCTGTCTGTATTATTCTCCATTTAAAATGAGGTTTTTATATTTGTTTAAGCTGGAGATATCTGGCATCCACTGAGGGAGTTTGAAAAAATGATTTTAAATTAAATTTGCTTTTCTCCACTAATAGTAATATACGGTAAATAGTTTCCACTGTTTTGAATGTTACAAAAACTATTGCTTTAATGTGGGGAATGAAGGGGTTTATTTTTGTTTTGTTGTTGATATTTTTTTACATTTATTGGTTAGTAGTTGAAATAAAAAAATAATAATTTGTCCTTAACTTTCTAAATAATTTATATATAGCAATTTTGAGAATGATTTAAATTCTATGACTTTCGGGTTATTACTGAGACGGTGGTCATGCCACTACAGCTATAATACCAAGCGATGCCGAGACACCCTGCCAAAAGGGCGGGTTCAGCTGGCATTCTGTTGTCCAGTAATGGCATGAAGCAGTCCACTGGCTGTGCACGAGGAGTGAAGGCCAACTCAGCCAAAAAAAAGGGTCATTTCAAAAAATATCTATACAACATGTTAGAGCTAACACATCCTTAACGCATTACTTCCCTGCAGGCAGATAGAAATTGATATGCTCATGGTATGCATTTGGGGTTTGGTGGTTTGTGTTTGTTTGTTTTATTTTAAACAAGTGACATTTGGGGTGCTTGTGGAAGAGAACAGTTCCCAGACAACATGACGAGCCCAGTTTAAGAAAAATACAATATAAATTCTTGCCTAACAGTAATTCTGGCAGCAGGTGCTGCAGGGGTATTCAGGCAGTTGGTGCTATGATTTGCTCAGCAATTAGCACAGCAGAGTTTCTGCATGTCCAGGACCTGTTCGGATCATACTTCTGATGAATTAACTGATATGTAGAAACAGGAGAATTTTTCCCCCCACTAACTTGGAATGGAATGGACTTACAGATGGTAGATTTGGGATTCACAAGACTACTCAAAAGTCTTAGCCTCAAACTAATTTCTAGTAAAACAAGAAATTCTGGGCAGCAGCCTATATTTTCTCTCCTATTCCCTTAAGGGTTGTCAAACATAGCCAACAATTACTTTTAAACAGAGATCTTTATTGTTTGCATAGTATAGCCTTCTGTTTACTTGGGAGTAGGCAGTTCTGTAATTAAATTTCCTGCAAAAGGGATTGGAGAGGGGTGGGGGAGGGGAGAAGGAATACCAAAGTTGGGAAAAAAACCCCACGAGAACAAAGAAAGAAAAACTTATTCCAACAAATGACCTGTGAAACCCAAAGTATGACTGAGTTCACAATTTTTATAACACATTCCATACAGGAATTTGAAAAATATAAGAGATTAAACCATAGGCATAAAATCTACAATATCCTTACAAAAGAGTAGTGGCAGAATGCAAGCTAGGTTTCTGGGAGTTTTTTCTCTCAGGATTTTTCTTTTCTTTTTCTTTTTCTTTTTTTTTTTAAGATTTTTAAGTTAGAATAATTAACACACACCTTTAGACTAAAATCTTGGGACAAGCTATGGGACAAAATTAGCTTGTCTATAATATCCATGAAATTCTCAGTATACTTTCAGGGTGCGTAAGGGTTAGGCTGTTTGAAAGTGAAGGGAATCATGTGGGGTTTATAGTCTGTACAGACCATGTGGGTTATGTCCAGCAAGATTATGAAAAGTTAAAAGTTAAAGAGGAAAACCCTCACTTTTGCACCTGCTGAAAAGTCAGAAGATGGGAAGGAATGGAAAGAGGGGGGTGCTAAGCCATTCAGGATGTGTGAGTCTAAGTTGTAGGGCTCTGCAAGACGCTGCTGGCAGGGGAGTTAAGGAGTGTCGAGATTTTTTGTTCAAGTAAAGAGACACTGTTAATAAAATATACCTAATAATCTAATGTGAAGTGGTTTCAGTACTCTGATTTTTCCTCAGGCCAGATTGGAATTTGTCAAAGAGACTAAATTGAGACAGATGGGAAAGCAACTGGTAATACACAGCTCATTCAAGCAGACTTGAAAGAGACATAAAGGAGAATTTTACATTAAAAGCCTGAAAATAAAACATGAACTCTGATGATATTTACTCTCAGAAGGTTTTTGAGTAGTTTTCTTTAAGTCTAGGGTAACGATAGCAGATTTTAGCACTGATACTATACAAATTGGGTGAAATTAATATCTAATTAGAGTGACCAAAAAAGAACCACAAGTGAAAAAATAGTTGATGTC